TGCCTTTGATGGGATTCGAATATTGGACGTATGAGCATTGCAACAACGCAAAAACCACCACGCTACTTCACAATATGGTGCCAAGGTTTCTTACTTATAGTATATAAACCTTTTTCAATTTTATCTTTTTTTTATTTCTCTAAAACAAATTTATTTGGAATCTTTTAATAAAAATTTATGACCCCCAAACTCTATAAGTTATAAAATAGACTTCAAAAATAACATATTACATAATTCATTTTAAAGACAAATATTATTTTTAATATTTTTTTGCACTTAAAACTTATAAATAAATTAGATAATTACATTGAATATAGATAAAATTTTATACTTAAAATTTGGTGTATTACTAAATAATTTTATATTTTATTGATTCTTATATGAATTAATTATTTTATAGCAAATTAAATTATATGAGTATTTGCTATGACATTATTTATTACAATTTATATCTTATATCTTATATTTAAAATTATGAAATATAATATTTAAATATATTTAGTGACCCACCGGTTCAACCACTCACCCACTGGTTGAACCAATAATCCGTTGATCCACCTCGTTCGCCGGGTTCCCTCCCGGGTTGGGTTTAATAACTATGGTCCAAACATTTCCCTGCCCCGCTCGGCTTCCTCACAAGTCACTAGTGTGACGCCCCGAAAAAAAAAGAGTTTGAGAACCCGTAAAGACCCTAATCTTTTCCGAGGGTTTTATTTCCTTTAATAGCATGTTTTCTGCATTTCCTGGTTTAGGAAATTTTCCTGAGGAATTTTTATGAGTAATTATAGTTTTTAGATGATTTTTCTACTATTGGCGAGTTTTTGAAAAATTAAGAATATATAATGGACGTGGGACCCACTAGTGCGAAAAGTTCGGAAAAATTCGGCCAATAAGGTTAAGTTTCGGATACTGTGTAAAATTTATCGGGTGTTAATAGATAAGTAGAGTGTGTGAAATGATTGATGTGAGAGAAGAAAGAAAGGATAGGAATGCATTTAATGAGGTGACAAGTGTCACATTCTCATTGGTTGGACTTTAAGAATTACTATTCACTTTCTTGACTTTTTTGACCAAAGGATTAAATATCTCAAAATTGCCCAAAAATCACCATTTTCTTCTCCATGTTGGCCGGCCCCTCCTAGCTCAAGAAGGAAGGAAATTTCTTCAACTTTCAAGCTTCCATTTCACTCAATCTTCCAAGAACAAAAGCCTACACTAGGTTCCACTCCATAAAATCTTTCCTTCTAGTGCTAGTAAGTGTCTTAGTGAAGTTTGTTTGAAGGTCTAAGGTGGCCAACATCCCTCTCTCTCTTGATTTCTTGGTAAGTGATGCTTGAACATCCTACTACACCTAATGATGCTTAAGATAAGATTAGTAGTGATTAAAGTGCTGAAATTTCTGGTTTTATCTTGGTTTGAAGTGATTTGGTGAAGTTTTGATTTTATTGATGATTTTTCTGGTTTAATTGGATTATGGTGTTGTGGTTGTTTATGATGATTGATAATGAGGGGTTATGACTCTAGTGGATGGAAATGATTGATATTTGCAACCAATTTTGGATTTGGAATAAATTTTGGAAAGATAGGGTTCATGAAGCTACATTCTGACCGAATTTATTGCACCATGTTAGAGGCCGAATTGGCCTTGGCTTAAAACATGAAAGTTGTAGGTATTGATGTGTTTGAAGTGCCTGTAAAATTTCAGGTTATTTGGACTAGTGTAGAGTGAGATATGTCGATTTTACTGTTGCTGTTCTGGGTTGATCAGAATGCGAAAACTGCACTTGTAATTGGCCATTTTGACTGGAATTGCTTTGGATTTGGATGTTGGTGTCTTCTGATGAAATGTAGCTGGATGTCTTAGCTTCCATATGCCTTTGGAATCAATGCATTTGGACCTGTACAGACCGAGTTATACCAATTACAGCATAGTGGGATTTGTGAACCTGTTTTAGTGGTTCTGGTTTGGTATTTTTGGCATATTTGACCTAGTTGTGCTAGGATTTGGATTGAGTGGCCTTCTACATTGTTGTAGCCCTGTTTCATAGCTTCGAAACGGTGGGTCTTACACCCCCATCCGATAATCATAGTGAAATTGACACCATTACCGCATAATAAGGGCAAAACAGTTTTCTATTTGGGGCCAAGACTAAGGCCATTTTCTAATTTCTGGTTTGCTATTATGCTCATTTATGCATATGAAACCCTATTGGGGTTGTGTTTAGCATTGCTATATGACTCGTTATCGAGTCTCATTGCATTTGTTGCGTGATTTTAGGGCGTGACGGTGGTGCACAACGTTCTTTTGACTAAAGTATTTGAAACCGCATTGTGCTAGCTAGGTGAGTGTACTACTCACTTATGTGCTATTACATGGCTTTGATCTTTGTACTTGAGATGTTGAATGTTGATTGATCCAAGTGAGAGTGTACTTTATCACTTTCACTTATTGTTTCGCATGTTATTGGAAAGTTATATGAAATGTTATATGAAATGTTATATGAAATGTTATATGAAATGAAATACATGACTTCAAATATTATCCATGAGCTCAACCCCATTGGTTATTGATTGAATCGAGCCGGCGAGGGCTTGGTCGTGCCAATTAATGTGCCTTGGGGCAACATCATAGGGAATCTTGTAGTATGAGAGACTCTTGATTCCGGTTTACTCGAGTAATACCACAATGCATGCGTTTGGATTTCGGGCCCGGTTGAGGAATGTTAGGAGGAAGGGAATGGAAGTTAAGAGGAGTCTACGGTTGGTTACCTTTCAGACATTGACGGAGAGTCAATGAGACCTGATCAAGAATTCAAACGAGGAAAAGGGCTCTTGAGAGCCACCCGTATCCTTTTATCCTCATTATTAATGTGTGGCTTTATTTATTTTGGTAAATTGGACTGTTAAACTTGATGTATCCATGAACTTGGTTGCTTGAGTTGTATTCTCACTGGGCAATTAGCTCACCCCGTTCCTTTTGTTTTCCTTACAGGAATATGACTCTTTTGGAATGAATTTTGATAAATGGTTGCCGAATGAACTAGATGAATGACTCTTTTGTATTGTATATAAAATGGGACCCTAAATGTATCATTAGGGCCGTTTTCACTTTTGTTTTGGCAAACCATATATGTAGTGACTTTTGTATCACTTTTAAATGTCATTTTGGTTTGTAAAGGCTAAATGTTATGTGGTATATGTAATTCGATGTTTGGTTGGGTTCGGACGAGTCGGTTACTATTCATGGCCGACTCCGGATTTTATTTCTTTTATTTTGGGTTATTTTGCCCTTTTGCCTTATTTGCGCGCGTTATAAGTTCCGGAACGTGGTAGATCGCTCTATACTGCACCGTTAGTCCTGGCGAGAGTTGGGCAGGCAGTCCGCTAACCTCTTTGGTTCGCTTTAGGGGAAGGTGGGGCTGTCACAACTAGTCACAAGACAAAAAGCATACAATAAAATAAAGGGTTATTATCACTTTACCTCATTAACGTTTAATACTATTAACAAATTTTCTCTTAATGTTATTTTTTAGTCACTTTACTTCAAATACTAACGGTCAAACTTAACGGAGTTTGTTAATTAAAGTGAAAAGACATGTCTAACCCTTAGAATTATTATCACTTTACTCGCATAAAATTTAGTCTCATTATCAATTTACCTCCTAAAGTTATTTTTTAGACAATTTATCCTACTATTAAACCAATTTAACAAGTTAAAAAATTTTAGAAGAAAATACCCTCCCCTTTGCATAATAAAAATAATAAAAAATTTAAAATGGCTATTCTCCTTTTTAGTATCAAGAAAAAAGTCAGAATAATAATTTCTTTCTTTTTGGCAATCATATTAATATTGAAAAAAATTAAAAAGATGGAGAGGGGGAGAGTGAGAGAGAGAGCTCAATTTTTTTTTAAATTACAAATAAGAAATAATTAAATACTTTTATTATTTTAAAATTATTTTACTTTTTTGTTTACCATTAAATTCCAATTCTAATATCGACAACCTTAAAGTAATACGATAATGTTAGATTTTTCTTTATTTTCTTTTTTGCAAAATCTAATTTTTTGCCTCCATCTTTCCCATCTATTTTTCTTTTCCTAATGTTAATAAATGTGAAAAAAGAAATTTGAGAAAATCATTTTATTTTTATGTTTTTCGATCTTTTAAAGTGAAAAAAGGAAGAATAACCAGTCCAAATTTTTTATTTTTAATTATACATAAAAAAGCAAATATATTTAAAATTTTGTGACCATACTAGTTAGATTAACGATGGGGTAAAATGTTTAGAAAATAATGTTAGGAACTAAAGTGATTGTATCACTATAATCTAAATGAATAAAGTAATAATAACAATGTAACAATGCTATAAAATAAAAGGGTATTTTTGTCCAAAATTTCTTAACATGTTAAGTTGAATTACTCATGGGAGTAAAGTGACTAAAAGATAACGTTAGGGTGTAAATTGATAATAGTGATATAGTTTAAGGGGGTAAAGTGATAATAATCTTGAAATAAATGTATAATTAGTACAAATGTAATTAATAATTTAATATAAATATATTAGCATAACTAATTAATAGTTTCTATTAATATAAATATATAATTATTTGTATAATTAATAATATTAATTATATTACATATAAATAATCTAATACCCATATCTAATAATATTAAATATGTTATAATCTAATATCCATAGTTATATATATATGGGTGACGTGACTGAGATATACTTTTTTTTTTTCAAAAACGATAATTATTGTATAACTTAATCTATCCTATATTAGGCGGAGGAGGTGGACCTAAAGAAGTCTAAAAATAATCCGGAGAGGACTGAACCACCACCACCAGAAACCCCTCCCCCACCGACCCACCACACCCTGCATCTGGGGCCATCAGCCCCAATCAACCCTGCAGGAAAGTAAGCCCACACCAGGGGGAGAGCAGGTGGCTCAATCCTTATTTCGAGCCCAGAAGCGCAAGAAATTCAAAATTTTGAATGCATAGCCTCCATAATAAGATATAACGGTCCAGTCCTGGTCTCGCTTCTCCCTAATTTTGCTTCATCAATCAAAGAAAATTTCGTCATTTTCTCCAACTTCTCCAGATCCATCAATTCTCTTCCGTTTCATCCCTGTTTTTGATCCAATTCCAATGGCAACTCAAATTGGGCCCTTAAATACGCCTGGAAAAGATGGAAAATTATCAGCTTCCCATTCCTGTTCGGTATCCAAGGTCAGAGTCGTCATAAGAGTTAGACCCTTCCTTCCCCGAGAAATTTCGGAAAAAAATGGCGATGCCGAGTCCTGCATTTCCGTTTTTGACTCAGAACTGAAGTCTTGTGATGAAGTGACTGTGCACCTCAAAGATCAAGAAACTAGGCAAGTCCAAAAAAATACGTTTTACATTTTCCCCCCCTTCCTTTTTGGAGGTGTTAGTTATTTTTGGACCTTTCTATTTAGTTGATTGAAGTGCTATCTTTTGTTGGAGGATATAGTCGGAACGAGTGCTTCAAATTGGATGCCTTTTTCGGGCAAGAAGACAACAACATTAGTAAAATTTTTCAGGAAGAAGTGAAGCCGTTGATTTCAGGTATTTTTAAGGGCTGCAACGCCACTGTCTTCGCATATGGTGCTACGGGGAGTGGAAAAACTTACACTATGCAGGTTTAATATTTTCTCTGGACACTTTATTTTCATTACCAGAATTCTGCCCCCGAGGGACTTTTTAAGATCTTTGTTTTTTCGGCCCCATTAAGAATTCAGTTTGAAGAATTTGTTGAATGTATGGAACTTAGCATTACTACTGCTACTGTATTTGCTCAAAAGATGTAACTTGATTTTACCTATAAAATTTGTTAACGAATGCTGTAATTAATGAGCTTTTGCTTGTATGTAAACAATCTGAATGATGTTGAACAGTAGAGAAGATTGGTTGCCCGCACATCATGCTGGCACTGCTTTTTCATTTTTCTTCGTTCTTCCCTTTTTAGTTTCGTTTCATTGTTTTGCGTTATTCATTTAGCTTTTCGAGTTTTTATGTTTGACTTGAACACCTAATAAGTGATAAGAGCAGAAGCAGTACTCTACCCTTGATCTGGTTAAAAGGAAACACAGTATCCTAACTGTCGTGCAAGTATCTTTTTCAACAGCCTCCTCATATTCAGGTTGTGGCTACACAGATTTAGTCCTTTCCTGATCCCTTGAATTCCTCAACAATTGTGGCTGCATAGGTTGTGGCTAATTGAGCTTGTAGGATGAGTTTGTGTTTTGCATTGCACACAGTCTTATTTTAATTCCCATCTGCCTTATTGTGGAAAATATGTGTTTGCCTTAAGGATAACTGCGTCGACTGTTGTAACATATAAAGCAGCATTCTTGCTTTGTTTGAGTGGGAAGAAAGGGATAAACTTGTCATATATCATACATTAAGTCAATGAAAGGTTCCCTTTCTACTCTTTATATGCATAAGTGTAAATTAATTGATGACATTGCAGGGGAGTGAGGAGTCGCCAGGTCTGATGCCGCTTGCTGTGGCCACCATTCTCTCTATTTGCCACAACACAGAAAGTAGAGTAAAAATCTCATACTATGAGATCTACATGGACAAATGCTATGATCTTTTGGAACTAAAAGAAAGGGAAATTGCAATATTTGATGACAAAGATGGACAAATTCATCTTAGGGGATTAGCTCAAGTTAGAGTGAACTCAATATCTGAATTCCATCAGGTGTTTTCTTGTGCAATTCAGAGGCGTAAGGTTGGGCAGACAAGCCTCAATGATGTTTCTAGTAGAAGTCACGGTGTGCTGGTGATATCAGTTTCGACCCCTTGTGATGATGATAGTGGGAAATCTGTGGATGGCAAGCTAAACCTGATTGATTTAGCAGGTTTTTTTTTTTAATCATTACTGTGTCTAATAGTGTCAGATAACTGTCCATGAAATTCAAAGGAAAACTGAATTTCTTTATTGATTCAGGAAATGAGGACAACAAAAAGACATGCAATGAAGGAATTCGTCTCTATGAAAGCGCCAAGATCAACCAGTCGCTTTTTGCACTTTCCAATGTTATCTATGCACTAAACAACAACAAACCCCGAATACCCTACAGAGAAAACAGATTGACACGGATACTGCAGGATTCTCTCGGAGGAACAAGTCGTGCTTTGATGGTTGCTTGCCTGGTAAGTTCTGTTGTTTTGTGTACTAATGCGAGGTTCGATGGAAGTTTGTACAGGTCTTTTGCATTTTTCCTTTTTCTTTTTTCTTATCTTTTTTGCCGCTGATCAGAATCCAGGAGAGTATCAAGAATCAGTTCGCACAGTTAGTTTGGCCTCCAGGTCACGTCACATATCCAATTTTGTATCTTCAGCTCAGAAAAAAGATGCTCCAAGTGTCAGCATGGAGGCAAAGCTTCGTGAGTGGCTGGAATCTAAGAGCAAGACAAAGAATGCTCAAATGATCGGTAGATGTGGATCTCCGGTAACCATAAAAAGTCCTACTTCTGTGAGCTCTCTAAAAAAGCCAAAAACAGGCTGGAGTTCTGCAAAACGAAGAATTGATAGCAACCAGGGTGCTTCAACTTCTGTGGCTCACAGAAATTTATTTAATCATGGAGGTCCTGTAGATCCAGGGAAGGAGGTAAACATGAAACTACTTTCTCCAATTGGTTATTGCACAGATGAACCTGCAATTAGAGAGCAGAAGATGGCAACAGGCAAATGTTCTACAGGACCATCCCCTGTTAGTGCTAAAACTAAGTCACCACAAAGTCCCTTGAGGAAAGTCCTTTCTCCAATTGACTCCAATATAAAAGCTGACGACATAATTTCAGAAGATCAACCTCTTGTTTCTTCTGACCTGAAAACTCCCAAAACACCTTTTATTCATAATGGTGGTAATGACCAGTTTGAGGGCACTGGAAACCCCCTTGAAAAATTCCATACTCGAAGTACTAACTTGAAGGTATGCGTGCACATTGTATCATGCTTATAGGTATTTTATCTACAACTTCGAGTTTGATCCTTTCCGTTCTATCAATGACAGGGCACTCTGGTTCAAGAATATATCGAGTTCTTAAACACAGCAACCAGGTAATTTTTTCCCCTGGCCTAGAATTTTCCGTTTCCATTCTCAGCGTTCCGCAGACTTAATAACAACTGCGCTTGCTTCTTGTCAGGGAAGAGCTACTTGAGCTAAAGGTAGATCAAATTGAGGAAAGGATCATATTTTTTATTCAGAAATAATCTTTTTTTTTTTTTTTGGAAGAATCGGAAATGACTATTTTCCCATTTAAGTTTTACATAGCCCTTTTGCTTTCTTAATAGGGAATCGGGCAGAAGATGGCCGAGTACATTACTGACCTTAGGGAGACGAGTCCTTTAAAATCAGTAAGGAATTTTCCAGCATAATGTCAATAAAGTTCCCTGCCCAACAAAAACAATTGAGTGCTTAACATTATTGACCCTGTGACTGTTACAGCTGAACGATTTGGAGAAATTAGGCCTTTCATCAAAGCAGGTATGGGATAAACATTTTGGAATAACTGCAAGGAGTATTGTCCTGTGAGAAATTACGAGCAGAAGACGTGCACTGTTTCATACTTATTTTCTGGATCTTTATAGGTACACAATATGTTCAGCAGAGCTGCAAGAGGTGTTTTTGGATAAGCTTGTATGAAACCAAGTCACGAAATCATGAAGAGGATAGCTTACAAATTTCAGCCAGCATCATAACCATTGTAACAGTTATTTAACAGCCCTGCTCTTACCCTAATTTCAGCATTTGAGCTGTAGCATCCGCAAATTGATGTCATGGTATGTATTAACCTTTTCTTTAAATCGTAATTATTGTCTTCTGGGATGGGCGACAGCAGCAGATTTCATGGCACTGAACGAACACTAACCAATTCCATGGTCTATCACCTTTAATTTTAATTTTAATTTGAAGAAGACTTTGTATTTTTTTTTTCAGTTTTATATAAAAGGATTCAACTACTGTTTCGAACACTTGTTTACGGGCTTGTCTGATTCGTCTTCTTCTGGTTGCGGATGAACTGAACCTGCTGCTTTTGGAACTAATTTCTCCTCCTTTTGTTAAAAAGAAAATTGATGAACAGAAAGTATTTGAGGGATTTTGACCACAAGTCGTTGATAACAACACTTGGCAAATTACTCACAACACATCTTTCACAGTTAAACGACGGACTATCCACTTAATAAATTACTCACAACACATCTTTTACAAAAATTAATCACTCACCAACACAACTCTAACTCTCATATTTGAAAGAAAAAAATTCAAACACGAGTTTTTTTTTACCAAAAAGATCTCTTAACCCTTCAAACAAACCTTTTTAAGATCTTTTGCACCAATTTAGCCGGTAAATCAATCGAGAAAAATTGACCCACTATTTTGGATTTTTAAAGGTAAAAATATCTTATTTTGATTGACACAATTTTTCTCCCAAGAAAAATCAAGCTTTCAAGGTTAATCCGTATTCTATTGCGAGGTTAATCCGTACTTTGACCCAACTTCATAGGAAGTAAATGCAATTAACAAAAAAAAAAAAATCACTAACAACATCATCCCCTACCTCTTTCCTTCTCCTCAACTACCCCCCACTCACTACACACACACACACACAGATGATTTAGTGACTTATCTTCTCCTCCGCTCCCACACTCAAAAGAGACCATCCTGACCACTTACTCCATATGCTATTAACTTGCTACAAATCAGATGGATCCCCGACGATTTGAGGTCACACTAGCATGTACTCACTGGTTTCTGCATTTTGAGCGATTCTTCGAATCAGACAGATTGCCGATTTCAAAGTCGGTGCGTGCGACGCGACATGCATACATCTATCTACAAAGCACAAGATCTATTGAATACTCGCTAACAAACAGAATTTTCCCTTTCTTTAATTTAACAAAACAAAGGAGTTTTCATTAGCTATGATCATACTCAAAAACTCTCTTCCTGACCACCAACATACAGACAAGCAGAGGTACAGTACCAGCAAACGCACAGGTTACTACCTTAAAATTAATACACACACAAGAAGATAGGCCCAAAGCAACCACGGAGAATCCATGGCCACTTTATTACAGGGAACTCCCGTGACCCATCATCATCATAAAGATCAGATGATGATAGGGTGACAGGAGATATTATACTACTACTTCTACTACGTCCCCCGGACAGATGCTGACAAACCGACAACCGACACACTAAATATTGCTAGTGATTATTATTTAGTCATCATCTCTGCTTGTTTTGTTAAAACAGCGCCTCATTTGCAGTTGCAGGGATTGCACTTGCAGTCAGGTCCGCACTTGCAACCTCCGTTCTCAGCTGCAGCCTCCTCACCGGCCCCTTCCAAGTATCTGTCACAGCCCATGCCAAAGTAAAAGACATATCAAGTCAGATTTCAGATCCGATTTCACAGGTGCCCCATAATAGAAAATTAGGGGTAATAAATTGAAATAATTTTGATAAAAGAAAATAGTGACACATACGCCGTCTTGGGTGGTGCAACACCGAGAATGAGAGTTTCAGCGGCGGTGTTCTCGGTGTAGCTCAACTCGGGGTACATCTTGCATCTGCGATCATCATTTAACACCATCACGCAATCAGTCCGTAAACAAAGAAGACAATTAACTGACTCCAGATTTTAATTTAGAGATAGCAGCTAGATAGGCACACAACCCACAGGACGTCCTGATTTATGCTTTAGACGACAAATTTTCCACCACCGTCAAAGATAATAAAAAAACAGATTTATTTTTTTTTTTAAAAAAAATCAAATTTACAAGCGAAGAAGGCTTGATAGATCAAAACCAAAATGAAAATGATAGATCCTACACGAGAAAACCGGTCGAGGCTATTGATCCGGAATTTTAACCCGAGAAAGAAAAGAAAGCATGCACGCACGTCCAAGGCAATTGCTTGAAGGAAGAAAAGTAATAGAAAGTTACCCGCCACAGCCGCCGCTGCACTTGCAGCCAGCGCCACAGCCACAGTTTCCTCCGCAGCACGACATTCTTTTTTGTTTCTTAGTAAAAGAGATTGGGAGATTATTACGAGAGTTGAGAAGAGAGATGAAAAAACAAGCAACCCTCCAATGCAGGAGACCGAATGAGCCATGACAAAAATTTATAGTGGAGGAGTGGAAATAAGGGAATGGATATGGACCGTCCACGTGGTATGATACATGATGGTTATCCCCATGAAAGTCGGTCCCCCCCCCCCCCCCCCCCCCCGGTGATCCGGCAATCAATTCACCTGGGTTCCACGTATCTGTCGTTTTCTGTGGTTCTAAGCTGTCTCCGCTCTCATGGTCTCATCAACGTCCAAACAAGTTGTACAGTCCCTAGTCCCTACTCTCAGAAGATTATTAAAGGAATATATAAAAAAAAAAGAAAGAAAGAAAGGCCACCAAATTATTGCTATTAAACAGTAAACGGATTAGACGAAATGCAGCCAGGACGAGGGCAAATTATTACGCTAGTGAGTTTGTTTGGATAAGAGTTTATTTGGATGATTTATTTGAGATATTTACTGTAGCACTTTTTGTGATGTGATATATGTGAAATAAAAAGATGATTGGAAAGATAAAAAGGTGATTGGGATTTGTGAGAATAAATTTAGCAAACCAAATTCTCTCTATCCAAACAAACTCACTGAGTGTGTTCTGGAAGTGCACGTACTCCACAAAAAAACATATCCCTCCTCGCCGTCAAACAATTTCTGCGGACCTTTCGTGAAGTTATGACTAAAAAAATCAGTTAACTTTGTTGAAAAAAAAATAAATTTAATTTACTAAATTTCTAAAATGACTTACATTAAATAGAGTATGACTAAATAGTTTTGCATTAAATAAATTAGATTACACTCAATAATAACCTACATTAAATAATATATTTTTAAAAAATTATGTATTAATTACTCTCTCCGTCCCACTTTGATAGTTAAGGTTTCTTTTTTCACATAGTTTAAGAAAAAATAGTTAATTTTGTTAGAAAAGTAAATTTAGATTGCTATTTTTCTAAAATACCCTCACATTAAATATGGTACAACTTTATATGAACTTGAATTGATGGTAAAAAAAGAATCAACTCTCATTAAATGTAATAGATTTATAGTAACAACTACTTACATTGAATAAAGATATTTTAGAAAAATTAAAATACAACTATATTCTTTAATTAGAAAGTGAACTATAATTTGGACGGATGAAAAAAGAATACAGGACTATCAAAGTGGGACGGGAGGGAGTATATTTTTTAATTAAAAAGTGAAACCACGAGTGTTTGGTAATTGGACGGACAGTAGGACCGAAGTGGTGTATGCTAACGGCGAGTACAACGAATGAATGAAGCAACAAATCTCCGCCACACGATTTTGAAATGTCGTCTGCTCATGTGCTTGCTAATTAAGGACCATAGTGTTGTTAGATGTTACTAGTTGACATCTGTATTGCCAATTCAAATTGAACCTAACTTCTGCGAGTAATTGTAAATTTTATTAATTTCGTCCGTCTTTTTCCCTTGGTGGTAGACTTTTTTTGTTGCTATCATAATTCTGTCCACGATCCCGGTTGTTCTAGAGCCTTATCTGTACCCAGGATGAGACTGCAATAATCCTACTATCTTCTAAGATATCATAATAATGTGACAGTAAAATTTTATTGATTTCGTCCATCTTATCTTTGCATGGTGGTGGACATTTTCGTTGCCATCATAATTGTTCTAAAGCCTGATCATAATTTGAAGCGGGTCAAAGACCAGTTTGTCTACGAAGGAAACAAATGTACTACTTATCTGATTCTGACCAACTGCAGATCGGCAATGGAAGTTTAATTTAAGCTAGTGAAAGTTTCCCTTTTCTCCACGAAAGCACAGGGAATGAAGGAGAAACATCTGTCATCACTGTAGAACATACGCTCCAGTCAAAGGATAAAAAAATAATAATAATCTGATCCTTAATTTGCAGCAGCAAAACGAAGCAAAATTGGAGAAAATTTGATCTTCTCTTCTATTCCGTACGTAATTATCTTTTTACTACCAAACACATTAGACCATTAAGGCAGCGATGAAGGGGGGAAAAATACATTAGACTAGTATCATCTATGGGTAATGTATGAATTTTATGAATACAAGGGACGATTTGCTATTAATACCTAATTACAAGGGACGATATTATGTAATTAAGCCTAGTTTCAATTTATGGATAATATCGCACTCATTAATTCCAAATTGCATGCTTATGAAGGAACTTTCGTAGTTTCTTGACTTTGTCCGTCCAATCAACAACCAGGTGAGGACAAATTATTACATAACACGACCGTGAGAAGGCATGTTGGTTCTTAAACGTAGGATGAACTTAATAGTTACTATTTACTTAGAACCAAAATTTACAGTCACATGGATAAATTTGTTTTCGGATGGAAAAGCTCTTTTACTTCTAGAATGAAACTGTTAGTGATCGCGCGCGCACACACATATATATATATTAAAGTAAATCATATACAACAATAATATATACTACTCCATTATCATCGTTAAATTTATAATATATGTATAAAAATTAAATTTTGTTGTAAAACTAATAAAATAAATCACTATAATATCAAGTGAAATATTAGAGATATTAGAGAAAGAAGTAGAGAAATAGAGAGTGATTATCTTATTATTCCAACTAATACAAAAGTACTCACAAAGGGTGTCAATGTACCTTTATATATATGTATTACAAAATTAAAGTTACATTAATCCTATTAAATACCCAGGAATATGAAAAAGCCTATGAAACGGTTTCTCCACTACATGAATAGATTTATGGATTGTAACTTCTATACACAATGTAGCCATAAATTATGAATTAATTCTATTGGAAATACAAAGGGACATCAACATTTTAGTTGTTTTAACGGATATTCAAATTCAATAATTTTTTCGAGACATAGTAAAAAGTAGTGCTTTATTTATGATAAATTTTCTCCTACAGGGAGAAATATAGTAGTGGCTCTTCTGGAGTTTTCAATCACTTAAACACTACAACTGATTGTGTTTGTTTCTCTTATTGGAATATAGTGTATATAGTAACACTTATTAATGAGACACATATCATTGTCACCATAATTCTTATGGGACAAATATCATCACCATAATCCTTTGATCCCAAATATTTAACATCCATTTCTTCTTTAGGAAGAAAAGTCAATTACTATCATAAATTAAATCAAGCATCATACACCTTCAGGGTGTTTAAAGAAATTAGCCATATGAAAATGCTATTATAATTTTGATTCCTCATATGTACTTCGAGACTTATTTTTAGGATCCTTACTTTTTTGTTCTCATCATTATTATCTCACTTCAAGTGGTAATTTTTTCTCTTGTCATGGTAAAATATATATTTACCAAAATCATAGTCATGGTAGTAACCATAACTAATAAATTGAAATCTAGTCGCATTCACTTCTAGGAATGGACTAGAACTAGTATGCAATAAGTACAAAATATTTCTCAAAATTTCTCTCAATATTGCTATTACAATAGCATATTTAAAAAATATGTAGAGAATATTATTTTCAACTAAGAAATAATTCTAAACATAGCAGAACTATATACTTGCAACCATAAGTAAATTTATCATACCAAACTTTGAAATAATGACCATATTTTTCTTTAAGTATTTCAAAGAACAAGTGGATCCTTAAGCATAATTGATTTTCTATAATAGCATATCCAAAACTCAATGCATCAGATATAAGTATTTATAACAAATAATTCTAAAGATAAATAAGTAGAATTAAAAGATGAAATATTATCTCAAATATGTCAAAGAGTATATGATCTTGTTTAGTAGTTGCTCAATAGTAGACACTTGTATTTTGCAACCATTCAAAGGTTAACCATAATAAATTAAAATAAATTTATAGGTTAGAAATTTACCTCAATAAATAGACAAATGTTGGTGAAAAAAAAAACATGGGTAGAATCTCGTGTTTCACTTTTACTCAAGGTAAAGTCTCCGTTTTCACCTTTTGTTCAAAAGTAGAGACTCGTGCTGATAACGTATTGTAAAATTAATAAAATAAATCACTATAATATCAAGTGAAATATAGGAGATATTAGAGAAAGAAATAGAGAGTGATTATCTTATTATTCTAACTAATACAAAAGTACTCACAAAGGGTGTCAATGTATATTCATAAATAGGTACTACAAGATTAAAAGTACATTAATCCTATTAAACACCCACTACTATAATGTGAAGAAACTTATGAAACAATTTCTCCACTACATGAATAGATTTATGGATTTAACTTCTATACATAATGTAGCAATAAATCATGAATTAATTCTCTTAAAAATACAAAAGGACATTCACATTTTAGTTGTTTCGTAACAAATTTTAAATTATAACGATGTACACCCTAATCTGTATTCTAATAAGCGCTTGGACGACTAATTTCAGAGGATCGATGCGTCCAAGGTACTGCTTAAAAGGAGAGGTCACTACACAGAATATTTTTTGCTGTTGACTTCACTGAATTGATGGGTTTTATTTTCCCTCTTCTTTTATTTTCCTCTTTGCTGCTTTTAGTAGAATCATAAAGCAAAGGTGCTGGTCCTTTTCTTGAGAAACTCAACACATCAAACAGCTTGACGGTTTCAGGTTACATATCTCAGTCACATCCGCTTCAACGGACAGATTACAGAGGGAGGTGAAAACTGAAAAGGAAGAAAGGGGAGGGTGCGTCAATCTCGCAGGAAGTTTTTAACCTTCCGACTACGAGCACGACCTGCCACCCACCACCCTTACTAGGACCAGGCACCCACCACACTTGCTCCAAGCGGCACAATGCTCCCACACAAAGCTGTGTTTCAGCAGTGGGGGTTGTCAGCCAGTAAGGAGTAGCAAAGATTCGACACGAGTCAATTTACATTATTGACATCCGCCCATTACTAGTACAGTAGTACCTTTATCCCCACTGCGTCAGGAAAAGCAACTACTGTGGCGAAGGTATCAGTTTAGATGAAAGAGTGGCAAGATATGCATGGACTAGTTTCTTTAAACGCATGTCTGTCTTTTAGATATTAATCTCTAGTAGATGTTTTTATTAGTTGATTAAAAAGGTAATGTATATCATAACGCAGTAGATATCATGCAAAAGATCAGAGAACATCTAGATCGAAAAGTGATTATGACTGCGCATGAATCCTCTCAGTGGTTTTGTAAAGTTGAACGAGTGCAAATACTAAAAGGGTGCTTTAACAAATTTAAAATCTGAAAATTGAAATCTAAAATCTATAAATTTACTAAATTATTGAATCAATAAATACTAAGGGTGTGTTTGATAGATAGAAATATGAAAACTGAAGTTTGAAATCTAAATATGTTAAGTGATCGAATCGTTAAATATTAAATCCAGATAGAATATAAACATATCAAATGATAAGTGAATAATTTATCACTTATTTTTTAAAACAAGTTTTGCGAAAGATTCAGAGGGCAAGTTTTGTCTAGAAAATTTAAAACCATAGACGTTCAAAATTTTTTTTTTTTTTTTATCAAACTCGTTTGAATATACTAAAATCTGAACCCAATCTTAACCCGTTAAATTTAAATGTTAACTTGCGTTATAAAATATGGGCAAAATCTGATACAGTTGAGTGTATATCACAATAAGCGGTGAATAGCCCATCACTTAAATTTCAAATCAAGTTTTGTCCAAAAAATTCAGTAACACTTAATTAATTCAAATATTTAATTTTTTTGTTATGAAATTCTTTTAAACATGTTAAGATTTAAATTTATTAAATTTAAGTGCTCAATTGAATTTATCAAACACGTGCACAAATTACTTTTGGCAACTTCTTTGATTCATTATTAAATTTAAATGTTCAATTGAATAATCAAACACAACCTCAGATTACTTTCGGCAACTTCTCCTGTTTCTTACCTAATAATCAGTGGGTATTTCTTCCTCAAAGGGAGAACACATACAATTTGGAATAAACTTCTCCAAAAAAAAAAAAGGCAAAAAACGGACTACCATTCTTTTGAAGATCACGCGCACACCATTCTTTTAGAAGAAAGTAAACTCAAATCAGCGAAGTGAATTGCTTCTATTGGCATCAAATCGGTTCGCCCTTTACCATCCGGGCCATTAACAAACCCCACTAAGGATCAGAAAATCCCACAGTTCCGAAACCCTCACTTTTAAAATCTCAAGAATAATACACTCTCTCTCCCACCACATGGCGTCTCCAATGCCCGTGGTCCTACTTCGTCAGCTTTCTGCACATGAAATGACCCATTCTATCATACCATTGTGCACAAAGACTAAACAACAGAAAATTACAAAAGTTATAATTGGTGGGACATAAATGAACTTACTCCATTGGTTGTGGAAGTACTGATGGAGCAGAATCTCTTTTTTATGCGCCCAACTCACTTACGGGAGAAATCAATCATGGTTTGCCCTAATTCTCCGATGAGCACTCAGTAACAGGTATTGCAGGTGTCATGCGTTTGTAAAAATGGTAGTTGAAGTGGGAAAAGTGCTGAAAGTCAAAATGGATAAATGTGTCATCTAAGTTGAGACGCGCACATTTGTTCTTCCGTCTACAATGTGAACGAGTCTATTAACGAGTGTTTAATAGGCGGCACATGTTAGAGGGAGGATGGATAATCCATCGGGCTCTCAAGACTCGGGTGCCCTCTCTTTAGTTTTAGATGGTATGAATGTTACTGCACAAAAACCCGATGGCAAGATTAGGGCCATGAAGATTTTAATCAGCAAAATTCATACATGGACCCAAATTAAGGGAGTTGAGAAAAAGATTTCTCTGTTCGTTCTGGATTTGTGATGCTATTGTCCATTGAAGGTGGAAAGGGCTAGTTAGTGGCAGTGATTAATTTGAAATGCTGACATGCAACAAGCCAACAAAATCCCGACGCCATTGCTCTTTGATTGTCAATCCAGTGGGCCATGTTTTTTTTTTTTTTCTTCAAACAAGAACGATTATAATTGTATAATCTATTTTATTCTAGAGTACAGACCTGATTAGATCAAAAAAATGCTTTGGATAGGATTTGAATTCCCACCTAAAAGTTATAACCCTTTAAGCCCCTCTTCAGTGGCCACTGAACCAAACTCAATGGTTCATTTGGGCTGTGTATAGGGATCGCCTTTTGGAAGAGGTGGCGGAAAAGTGTAAAGTGATGGAGGCAAGGAGGTCAATGTTTTTTTTTTTTTTCTGAAATCAGAATCAAGATATGTGAGCCTAAAGAGGCGACGAGTGCATTATTATACCCTCTGAATTTTTTAAAAAAATAAGAAGCACTATGCTTCTTGTGCGACGTACTGGGTGGAGTTTGAACTAGTAAATGAGAGAGCTTTCCCTGACCATTGCATCAAGGCCCAATGGTTGGAAAAGATATATTTGATTGTGCGTGTGTTATTTTAATCTCAGGCGGGGCTACCCCCTTCAGAAACAAGAAAAGAAAATCCTTGCGTTTTCATTTCTGTTAGTCCAGAAGAGCTAAAAAGAAAGTGGGCTGCATTTACGTGCGAGAGTTATCCTGATTCACGGCCAGCACTGCCATGAATTGTGAACAATGAGATGTATATTCCGGTATGGCTGAACCATGATTCCTGATTCTCCAAGTTTCCCACACTAATTCTCGGTTGGTTAGTTCTTTGATATAGGTAGCTGTTGGACTCTTGAATCTTGGTTCCGTTATCAGTCCTGAATGTAAGTCTGGAAATTTGCATTGAGACAGCAATTTATGTCGAGCATAGATTTCAGAACAAAAATCTGCATTTCCTTTATCCCCTTTGCTCCCTCTCCTGGTGGTGTCGCTTGTGCCATGATTGCTTGTGTCTTCTTCCTGTAACAAGCTTGCGTGGTGCTGGAAATTCTTCGTGCGACAATCTAGAGCATTGATCTAATCTTCGTCTAAATAAAAATATCCATATTTGCGCTTTACGACTCGTTACTGTCAAACTCAGCCATACAACACGCAAGAACCTATTCCAAGCAAGCACACAAGTCCATGCTTGAATTTGTGTCCCACAAATTTGTCGCATCACTAAATGAGAGAAAACTGACAGCAATACTAAAATATATGGGAGGAACATTGTATAGGTAACCAAAATCAAAACTGCCGCTCGAGATGAGAACCTGATCCAGCCAAGGAACGTTCAGGTGAAAACAAGTTCTTGTATTAGATCATCAAATATCAAGTCCTCCAGCCCGATCCCCACGCATTCTGCTTCAAACTGAATGTTCATCCAGCCATCGCTTTTTGATAAATCATGGCTTATCGCATTATCACTATCAAGTGATTCGTCCACATCGGGCCTTAGCCTTAAGTACCAGTTTATATCTGTCCAAACGTCCTCCAGAACGTGGTATCCCACAGGCATCGGATGGACATGAGACCGGCAAGTTAAAGGCATTGGCCAGTAAGAAAATGCTCTCTCGTAGATTTCTAACAGTACCTCGTTGATTAAATCAAACAAAAGCAGATGCTTACAGCTGCCGCCTTCTTCATTTCCAGAACAATCAGGTTGAGCTACTAAACAACCTTCTACTTCCTCAAACACTGACGGGGCCACTGGCTGCTCCTCAGAATGCCATTTCCCAAGGAACTCGGTTCCACTGAAGCCAGACAGCTCCAGCACATCTCTAACATAATTGAATTCAGCCTTATTTTTCATGTCAACCTGGACGTGCAATAGATTATTGTAGGATTGCTTCAGCGAAGTTTCTACTTGCTCAACATTAATATTGCTTTCATTCAAGCCGAGGGGATCCATCCTGAGATCATTCTGCAGGTTTAATAAAGAATCCTCTTCCCCAGGAATCGGGACCGCCGGCCCAGGTTCTAAATCTGGCCTCGACCAAAAACAGATAAGAACGCGTCAGACAGTAAATTAAAGTTCATAATCCAGTCTATACGTATGATAATTACTTTAACCAGGTGCTTCTCATAGTTAAACTCTACCACTATTCATAGGTTTAGTATTTAGTGATGCAGTTAAATTTGGGTGCTCTTCGTAAGGGCAATCAGACTTTTGCCCAATTTTTTGGATGAAAACAAGATGGTCTTCACTATGGAAAAAATAAATTTTAAGCTCTAAAGGGTGAGAGAAAGGGCAGAACTGAGCACAATCAAAAACATTTCAAGCTGTTACTTGAGAAAAGGAACAACCTTCAAAACATACCTTCAGAAGCATTTGCATCCTCCTCGAACTTAGAGTCATGTCCAGAATCCCTTGTGGGATGAATAACGTCGTCATGGTCCAGTGTTCTGTCCCTTCTCTTGGAGCCAGCCAAGTCAGGCAAAGAGTCACCAACTTCGGGGACTTTTTCCTCACTATCGTTTTCGAGAAGGCCATCTGACTGAATTTGTTTTTCTGAAGTTACAGGTTTTTGTTCAGAAATACTACTTTTTTCTGTATTTTGGTTTCCACCTAAAAGAGGCCTGATTGGCATCTCCAAAGAACTTGTCGTGGCAGATCTCTCAATCCGAGAAAAGGAGTATGACCTGAGATCCGGTAACGAGAGGATCCTTCCCAGGCATACAGGACTGCCATCCAGAGGTGAATGGGTCCCTGTTGTTTTCAACTCTGATCGATCGGGCGTGCGACTGTTTTCTTCTCTGTTAAAACATAACTCAAGTAGTGGGTTATATCTACTTAATGATTCATTGAAAGATGATATTCTTCTAATGCCGTGCAGTCCAATCTTGCCAACTGCAGAATTTTGCTCGTTCCAAGAACCACTCCAACTCCGAGGAATGCATTTATTCCAATTCAATGTAACTACATCCTTGTTTACGTCATCCTCTTCCTTAGTATCTTTTGGATACCCGTAAGGAATTTTATGGAGGACTGCATCCATGACAATTCTTTGCCTCTCCTTTCTGCTCTCCTTGATTGCATGTTTGATTTTTTGCCTAAGATTTTTGAAGCGTTTCATGATAAGTTTATTCATATGATGGGTCTTGAACTCCTTCAGTGAATCTAAAGAAGCATTATCCTGGGGACAGAGCTGTTTTGGGTCTTCCGCCTCCGTGCATTTGCCTTTTTTAATTGCCAAAATCTGGTCCAGGTCTTGAGATGCTAATGCATTCGAAGTTAGGTCCTCTTCAGTTTGAGATTTACGTTCCCCTTCTTTACAAGTTCCCAATTCCTTCTTGCACCTGGGACTGTTGGATGCAGAAGGTCTTTCGCCTGAGGAGCCAGGCACAGGAAATGACACAGACTTCGTTAACCCTGATCTTAGAGTGGATGCCCTATGGCTGTGTAAATGATGCGACAATGATGAATTTGGATCTTGTAAAACTTTCAGGAATAACTCCTCCCTTAAGTTGAGCAAATCCAGCGCATCCAGAAAGATCTTTGACTCTTGGAGTGAAGCAATTTTACTCGGCTCTATTGCACATATAAACTTGTCCTGAAGAAGAGTATGATCTTTAACTGGTTGCTTCCCATGCTCATTAACCTCACTCTGCCTCAAGTAATTCTTAGTAAGCATGGCAGCACACAAGTGACATGTCCTGCTCTGTGCGACTGATTCACCACAAAACTGTGGCGGAAGCGGATCCAGTAAGATGGAAACAGAAGAATGCAGTGTATTTTCCTGGTGATCCAGGGACTCATCGTTGAAGCTAGTTTCAACACAAGGATCTATACTGGAGACATCTAAATGATGGATAGAAGGTTTCCGCTCCAATGGCAATCTTGTGGGATAGGAAGAGCTTCGGCGATGACGGATTCTTCTTCTATAGACCTCTTCAGTAATCAAGGCTTTTATTCGAGATTTCATTGAACTTTTATGCCCTGAACTAGAGTCTGAAGATTTTGCATGATCCTGAAAGTAAAAATCTCTTAGAACATTTTCCAAAAATGGACAACCTTCCTATCCTTATCCTAATCCTAGCAATGACATTTATAAGTACCTACGACTAAAATTTTATGTATTAAAATAGAAGTGTAGAGAAAAAGACTGCGAATCTATCTTCAAATTTTGCTGCCCGGCAAGATATATAGTACGTACAGAAGATTTAGCAGTTTCAGCTTCTAATTTTTCTTGCGGTTGCCCAGCATTTGTTGTGTTCAGCTTACTTCCTGGATCTTCAACCACTGAAAAGTAGCAATCCACATAAATTTCAATAGCAAGACCAAAAGTTAAAACGTTCTTTGCACGCCAAGATCATGAAATTGTGCAGATCCCATGTACTAAAATTTGCGTAGTAACAACTGCATTGCCAGCATCAATAAGGCCACGAATGGTATATTCAAACTTGAGACGTTACATTTGTCACAATAGCAACTTCACTTGCATATGTACTGATGCTATGGTCGCAGAAGGTCACATAGTTAAACATGCATGCCGACTGAAGTGACGAGAAAAGAGCACTTAGAAAGACGGGGGCCTATCTGAAACTACACGAGTAACCTGGCAAAAAAAGAGCAATTAAGAGCCAAGTGAACGGGCAGAATTAAGTACCTACACCATTTGCCAATTTGCCACCGCTGCTTGTTTTATGTACAAGCCTTTTCCTGACATGGTGCCACTTGTGGTTGTTGAAATGATGAAGTATGCCTTTCATACATCCTGGATTACTATGCTTCAAAGTGATGGAAGGCTCTTGCTGTGGAATGTTCTTTCCCATCTATTACAATTGGATCAGCTTTAGTGGTGAAATGGCTTGGAGTTAGAAAATGATCAGGTCAACAGTTGTACTGGCACGCTCTGAGAACCTGATAGAAAATTATGAAAACCGACATTAACGACCAGAAAATGGATCATGATAATCGTCGAACATAAAAACAATAGGGAAAAAAATCATATTGTTAATGGCCCATAATCAATATAATGCATCCAACGGTTTATCATGTCTTATGAAGCGGTTTCCCGGGAAACAGAGGAAACCTGCCATTAGGGTGTGCTGCAATTTTTTTGCCCCAAAACGTGGCTGCGTTGAACAATATAAGCATTGTTGAACAGTCACCGCATTCATCAAAACACAAAATGATATGCCATAGTACACAGCACATAAAGCAATGGAAACTGGATTAAACACATATTGGTTGGGGACTACAAAAATTAACCCTTAAGAGGCTCCGTTCCTTTCCCAGATGATCAATTGTCAGATTGAGATGCCTTTCAGACGTAAAAATTGCCAGGTTTTCTTTTTGGGATACCTGTGAAATGAAGACGAATAAAGAATATGAGGTTGTTTTTGTTTATTGATTGGTGGACATTTAAGAAGTAAAGAAGCCGGAGATATTTAGCCAAGTAGCAATAAATCGGGGGAGAAAAAATGGTCTAGGGCCATTTTCCTTTCTACTGATTGCCTTCCCAAGATCCTAAAACTACTGGGCTTCCAAAATTTGGCGCCAGTTACCCGTCAACCGCCCTTCTCCGCAGTCGCCTATTTCGGTCTCATGTCGCTTGCCATCTGTCCACTCTCTCTTTTTTAATGCATTTTTGTAATCTAGATGTAGAATAGTGATTTTTTTTTTTTTCAATTCCGTCCATATTTGAATAGTGAACGTCATTGAAAAGTAATTATAATCATCAAATGAGTTTTCAAACGACTAAAAATAGAAAGTTTCTACCTTATTTGACCCTAAAAAAAAAAAAAAAAAACTTCGCGAGATACTAAGGTATATTCTAAACTAGTGTTAATGACACACCCACTATGCTTACAATTTAAAAATAATTAAAACATATAAATTTTATGTGAATTTTTTTACGTAAATCAAATTGATATAAAATTTTCATTAAAGAACTTTGGTTTATAATGTTATAAGAATTTGACAGTTAGACTAAGGTGGTTATGAGTAGTTATAATGTCAAAATATGATGAAGTGATTAGAGTAAAAATGGAAATTTTGTAAGGATTGAGTTGCAAGTTCAAAAAATGACCAAAATTATTTAAACTAACAACAACTTCTCTGGCATTATATGTTTTATAGATTATTTAGAATTAATTTATTATTGTTTTTATAATTGTTTAAAATATTGCTTTTATTTTATTTATAGGCTAAAAGAAAGCTAATCGTCAATAGTGGCCATGAGAATGCTTTTGAAAGCATTTACTGATTTTTCAAAACGTTCGAAAGAAAAATACTGCACCTTTTTCTAAGCAACTTTCGCTATAATTGTTTTCTACGAGTAACTGAAAAAAAAAAAAAAAAAAGAACGGGCCATGAGATTATTGCTAAGGGGGCTGACAAAGGTTGTGATGATTTTGTGGACAAGTGTGGGTTGGTTGCCGTGTCAATGTTGGGCTTCGGGTGGGCCTTAAACTCTTCTGAGATGAAGCTGACAAGCACTAGGGTTGGCACGGTCGGGTAACCATCCCTTGGAGCATTTGCTTGATTTGACCCACACTTTTAGGGATCAGCCTGATCCTTATCTGCCTCAAATATTAGCGGATGCTTGGTTATCAAATACCCGCTAAGATAGGATTAGATCAACGGGTATTCGACTCGTCCGACTTATCATTTAATTTTTTTAAAAAAATTATTTATACTAACTTAATTTTATGTTTTACATATTCATCTAAAATTTAATAAAGATTTTTCTCAAAAAAGTCTCCTACCAAGAAACCAACATGTGAAGAAAAATGAAAAAAAAATTCAAAAAAATTCAAAATCAATAAAAATTTAAAATAAGTAGCACATTTTTTAAGATGTATTTCACATTAATTAAACTTTTTTCTAAAAAAATATAAGATCATGACCTTTACAAATAAATTTTGTAAATAAAATATAGTCTTCCATATCTGTAATGCAATTTGTTCAATAAAATTGCTTATTTAACTCTAAAAATATATTATTTTATAGTATGTGTATAAAAATAAAAATGTATACATGTTGGACGGGTCGGGTACTCGTAGATTTTTAATTATGTGACCCTAACCCGTTCCGCATTTAAGTGGGTATCCGACTCTCTTTTGACGTGATCAAATAATACTAATTGGGTATTCTAATTTTTTGATCGAATATGACAGATTTTCAAGCTAGCAGGTATTTTTGTCCACCCCTAACAAGCAGTAGGAGTAGCCCATCGAAAGTCTTCCCGTTTGAGCTGCGATCTCTTGTAAAAACTTTTCTGGAAAGATATAATTTAAAAAAAAAAAAAAAACTTCTAATGTTAGCAAAGAGTCGTTACAATATATGGTGCCAAACCAAAAAAAAAAAAAAAAAGAAGTTCTAATGTTATCATGACCAACGCATATGATCTAAACGTAGGTCATAGACAGATACATTTTTTGACTAGAACTTTTAAGTTACTTTTTAGCTGCAAGTTGGGGCATCAAATCTCATGACTTACGGTTTATATAGAGTTGTTCTAGCCCATAAGAGCGGGTTAGTTCTGTGTAGGTTCTCCTTAGAAGCAGGTTAGCAAAAATTGTGTTGATAAAATAATTTAAAAAAAAAACACTTAGCATTCAAAAACCGGTAGATGGAGCTAAGATTAACTTGTAATCCTCGTTAATGGATATATATATTTCTTGCAGATGTGGCTATATGTGTTTTTCTTGCGGATTACTGTTTGCGTAAGCATACATAGAGTACACCAAGTAGTAAGGATGACAAATGGGGTGGGGTGGGGCGGGGGCAAAATATTTCCCCCGACTTAAAAACGGGGCGGGGAATGGAAAAACATACACCCGCCTCATTGCCCGCATACAATAAAAAAAAAAAAAATATACATATATATATATATATATATAATACAATTCTAAATTTTCTAAATTGCACCTTTACTTATAAGTACAACGCTAGTTAGTGTCAACGGCCGCCGCAACAACTGAAAAATTTTTTTGGACTATTGTTGATTTGTTTCTAATGCCTCCCCCCAAAGACTAAGCTATCCATTTCCAATCTGTTTTGCTCCTAACCCTTTTTTATTTTGATTGATTTTCTTCCTGCGCACTGATTGTAACTTGACTTGTTATGCTTTATTTCCATTTTGACAGCTTTTTAATCTTATTTAACATTGTTTACAATTGTATTATTATTTATGATAAGTTGATTTTTTCCACGCAAGGAAAATGGGACAAGGACGGAGCGGGGGATGGAGGGCAAGAGGCGGGAGATGGAAGGAGTTATTTGACAACGGGGCAGGAGGTGGGGGAAGGATCCCCCGCCCTATTGCCACCCCTACCAAGTAGTAGTCTGGGGTGGAAGTTCCAAAGTCGAACTAAGCAAATGGAGTTGGGATTTAACAGATAGAAGCTCATGGTTCGGATTTAGAGCATGTGCATAGCGGAATATATGTTTACCGTTCAAATTTATTTGATTATTTTAACGAATTTAAAATTTTACTTAAATTTGATTTGTTTATTTGTCAAACTAAGTTTTAACTAATTTTTTTTTTATCAAGTTTGAATATTATATAATATAAAACACCGTTCAAATTTTATTTGATTAATTGGCGAATTAAGTTCGAACAAATTTTTATTAAGTTGTACTCAATTCGAATATCGGGTAGTTTAGTTAATCTTTCCATGGAAAATTAGAAAGACTACATACAGAAAGGGGTTTTACCGGTTTGTCCATCATTTATTAGCGGCCAGCATTATTTACAAGACCTGTACATCTGTATTCTATCATTCCAAGCCCAACAATGCACAAAAAGGGTTGAAATTTTTGGTGAGTCCTTTAACTTTTTTTTTTTTTTTTAATGTTATTTGACTCGGGATAAAAGTTCTTGGACTTGAGCGTTTAAAAATTCTTTTGACTTTCAGAAACAGGGGGGGGAAAAAAAGCAAATGTGAAAATTTGGTTTGGTCTTCCATGCAGATCGTTGGTGCAATGGAAAACGTCTCTCACCCAACGAGGGGAGGCGACACGTAAAGGAAGTTACGCCAGCTCATGCCTGCCGGAGAAAATGATGCCTTGTCCGTTGATATTAGAACTACTAATTGCACGTGAATTGATTAATTCTGCTTAATAAGAGTACAAGTCACAAGGGCCAATAAATTTGGTTCAGTGCCTCCTCTCTGACTCTGCTGTTGTCGGTCCGTTGTCCACACAGTTGAATTCAAACTTTTCACTTTTGTTCAATCCGCGGCTGTTATAGTGTGTATTTCTCCGGGAGAATGGATCAAAGCACCAACTGTTAATATACTACACTACTAAGAAATGTTTAATGAATGATCCGAGAGATTGACTGGTTAAACAAACACGATTGATTGCTGACCGGGAAACCACCTGTTAATTTCCCAAATCTTATAGTAATACTAATAAGTAGTAGTACTACTGCTAGTGAAAATAATTGCCTTAAACCTAAAAGTCAAACAATGCATTCATGTTTTTTGTCACCTTCAGCTGTCTCTCCATTGTCAATGTCAAAGAGATTTATTCTTGTACGTTCTTTGAATTCGATCCACGTTTGAAATCTGAACCTGACAGCTCTTTTGCTTAAAATCCAAGGAAAGGCTTCAACAAACACGCCATTCGGCATCAACTCTTTCGTTTCTTAGGCCGTTGAACGTGGCGCTTAAGCCCGACTGACACCTAGCTGATCGTTTTGTTTTGTTTTTTTTTTGGCATGGTCGAAATTATAACACTGGGAGTGTTTGGATACCAAAATTATTCCAAATAATTGGTTTGTTTGGATAGAGAATTATTAGCCAAAATTTA